TGAGCACCTTCTGCCTCCAGAGTCACTGTGGGGTGTCAGGGAGGCTCAGTCATGCTAGAGGCCTGACATCACTAGAAGGCTTAAAGGACATGGTTTCAAGAGCAGTCAATGCCTGAGGTCACCTGAAGGTCAGGCTTCTGCTAGCCCATCGCTCTTCTTTTTGAAAAGCCTTGGCAGGATGGAAGGGGTCAGCAGGCAAAACTCCAGGCTAGGAACCCAGTGAACTCATGCCCTAGTCCTGGCTTTTATTTATTGAGTATCCTGGGCACCTACCCTCTGACCTCAGGCTCCCCATCTATCAGATGACAGTGTTACAGCAAACTGCAGTTTCTTGATCTTCTTTCTTAATAATCAGAACTTTGTTCAAATGACACCTTAGAAATGTGTACAAGATAAATAGGAAGGGAGCTGTCATGGATTAGGTAAACCCCTACCACGCCCTCCTCAGAGCTGTGGCCCAAGCAGTTAGAAAGCCCCATGTCCCATACTCTGGTGCACCTTGGGAAACCACGTGGGGCACAGTGGGAGGAGGACAAAATGATGCGACATCTGGATTCTGCCAGCTCTGGAACCCTCCTCTTGCAGGAAACTCCCTACCTCTCAGTGGCAGTAGCCACATGCCCTCCCTCTGCCAATATTGACTGAGAGTCTGCTGCAGGCCAAGCCCAGGGCTGGAGTGCTGTGCTGAGGAAGGGCGCAGGGACATGGGTCAAAAGGCCACAGTGTTAGGCAAATTATGCGATGTGGCCGGGGCCATCCAGTGTCCAGCATGTGAGAGGAGGAGTCTTCGAAGCTAATACCTCATCAATGGCTTCCTGGGAGAAAGAGAGCTCTCAGCGGCCTCGGGACCCCCAGAATTGAGACAGGGAGGGTGGGAGTCATGAAATAACCTCTATACTGGACTCTGAGCCCAGGCACTTGCTGAACTGAGAGGCCTATAGCACTCCTAGGAGAGGCAGGATTTGAATTAGGTCTGCCTAACTTCAGAGGTCTTTCATCTACAACCCTGTAGGCTTGGAGTGGAGGGTCTTGGGGGGTGCCATTAGCCTGTTTCCTCCTCTCAGATCCTGCACTCATCAGGGGTTTGATAAACAGCTGAGTTAAGATGAACACCATTCTGGCTAAACAGGTACACACAGAGCCAGTTTTGCCCAAAAGCTAAATTGAGAAGGGGTAGGTTTTCTTTGTTTTACGGTTTGTTCAGTGCCATTTCCTACCCTGGGCACTCTGGCTGCAGACAGTAAGACTCAGGTTCTATTCTTAAGGAGTCTCCAGTCTAAGTGGCAGGTGGGCATTATTAAGCTGGAGAATGCAGAGGACACAGCAAGAGCAAACGCCTGGAAGAGCACAGACTGGGAATCGTAGCCCCATTCCCAGGGGTGGTGATGGGCTGCTAGGAGTCCCTGATTCTTGGCTCTACCTTGTTCTCCTACCCCTAAAATGGGCTCCCACAAGAAAGTCACAAGCTGTGGGGTTTGCACCCCTTCCCTGAGTCATCATCACCCACTATTCCATCAGCTTGACACCTAAATAAATATATGTTGAATAAATGAACTTTATTACCACATTTCGGTTCCAGCCAGGGGCTGGTGGGGGCAGATGGTGGCCCACTTGAGGGTGGCTTCCTCTCTTTCCCCAATTCAGTGAACACTTGGCGAGGAAACTCTGCCAGCGTCCAGGATGGGCGATGATACAGAACTTCACAGCAACCCTTTAAGGAAGGACATTTTATCCCCATTTCCTAGATGAGGAAACTGAGGCCCAAAGGCAGGACTACCATGTAAACCATTTCCAAGGTGAAAGGCAGCAGCTGGCTGCATGCAAAGATCTTGTTGGGCATGGTGGGTGCAGGAGTGGGAGCATGGGTGTGTGACTGCTCTCAGTGCCCTGTGCCCACCAAGGAGCAGGCGCCACATCGAGCACCCCGTTTCTTAATCTGGCTGTATCAGCCCCCCTCTTCCCCTGCACATGTTGTTCTGTCTCCTTGGAATGTAGTCTTGCCACTGCTTTCCCACTTGGCAGGCGCCCTGTGTGTCCTTCACGGCCCAACTCCAATATTACCTCCTAGAAACCCATCTTTGATTATGTTCAGGTAAAATTAGAAGTCTTTCTCCAGGGCTCCCACAGTGCATCATACCACCTCCCTGTTGAACTCAGGCCACACTAGCCTCTCCTTTTCCTCCTCTGCCTCCCCATGGGCCCCCCACTGGACTTGTCAGGACTGGGGTATGTTTCATCTATAGCTCCAGCCTGGGGCCTGGAGCATGGGTCATTGAGTATTTTAGTGAGTCCTCGTGCAGCAGCCTGGCTAGGTGGATGTGAATAGAAACCAGGGCATGGGTAGGCAGATGGTAGGGCACTCCATTTCTAAAGTGGAGTTTGACCTTAACCTGCCAAGGGCAAGGTCCAGCAGAGGGGTTTGTCCTTGGCTCCTAGCAGCCTCCACTGCTCAGCGAGGCCCCACAGATGACTTCAGAGGCCCAAAGAGCCCTGGAACATCAGAGCCAGACCTAAATAAAACAGGGCCTGTGATAACCGTACTAACCTCTCAAAGCCACTGCAACAGCGTTTGTCTCTCATGCGCTACCACATAATTATTACCAGAATCGTGGATCATCTGTATTACTTTTCACTTAATTTTTTACTTAAGTTGCTTTGTTCTAAGTCATATGGAATCTCAGGGCTTGTAAAATTTTTATCTTGAACACGTGATCCATTCACAAGGTTCAGAATTCAAAAAAGTGTAAAAGGGTATAAAATAAAGGCTCCCTTTTACTCTTCCCCCAGCCACCTGGATCCCCAATATACAACATTATCTTTCTTATGCATTTTTTGGAGTAGATATATATATTCCCCACCCTCCACACCCAGCCAGTTGGTTTTTTTTTTTTTTTTTTTTTCCTTTTTTACACAAAAGGTAGCAGAAACACACAAACTGCTCTGAGGCTTGATTTTTACTGTACACTGTAACTTGGAGTGTCCCAGATCAATACATAAGGAGCTTTATTCTTATGATTACATTATATAGCTATGGCACATTTTATTAAATCACAGGTTTGCATTGCTAGTTTTATATCTATTCTAGTGCGTACTAGAAAAATACAAATCTTGCATACCATAAGTATCACACTCTGGATAAACCAGAGTTAATGCACCAGACAAAGCCAAGCATGTGCTGGGGGCCACAGCACTGTTTTTTGTGATCTCCTGCTGATGCTTTAGTGCCTTACTCAGCCTCTTCTTTCACCCCAGTGGTCACCCTATGACTAGGGTGCAGTGCCTGGCTAGGGCCCACCAGAGGTTTGTCAGGTTCTCACTACCCACTCAGAACTAACAGCCCTGGGGCTGAAAACTCCCTAGAGAGTTGAGAGAAGGGGGACTTTGCGGGGCAGCACCAGAACGTGCTGGCAGGGGGTGTCTTTTGAGCTAGCCATAAAGGACAAGACCTAGAGCAGCCCTCCATGGCACCAGGAAAGCCCCAGCATGGAGGATGAATATCCAAGGTTAGCCAAGGAGGGGCCAGGTGGAATGACCAGTGGGAAGGAAGGACCCAGCACTCTGACATAGAATGGGGTCTGACTATGTGCTCGGGCCAGGCCAGTCTCCTCTTCCTCAGCCTCTGATATGAGAACCTTGGCTTTCACAATCGTTGCCCTGATGACTTCTAGAGACTGGAAAAAACATACTAAGAACATGTCTGATTAACAGCTATGCCCAGTACTATCCGTGACAATCTTGTAGTCAGGGCCGCTTCTGCATTCTGTGGGGAAACCGAGGTCTAGAGACCCACAGCAAGGCCATGGCCAAGCTGAGGCTTCCCTCCACATCCAGCCTGCTGGGATGCACATAGTGAATGCCGGTCGTTTGCTTTCTCTATGAGCCTCTCTGGCTCCAATCTCCTGCACCAGTGAAGGACCTGCCTAATGCTGCATCTCTTGGCTTTCTCATTTTAAAAGCCAGGAAGAATTCCCTACTTTTCCCTAGCAAGGTGGACGCCTTGCTGACCTTGCCCTCACCTGTGTGTGAGCAGCACCCTCCCACCTGCTCTCCTTTTCCCCTCCTGCAGCTGTCATGTCCTCAGTTTCCAGGGGACAGAAGCATATCGCCCTTTTTCTCCCCCAGCCCTTTGCCCATGGAAACACCTTGGCCCCCCCACACTTCCTAACCTCATGTCATGTCCTTTTCCAAAGCACATTCCTGACTGATATGTCATCTGTGTCCAAAAACCCTGAGAAGCTCGTGGTTGAGGGAGCGTTGCTGCAAAGGGCACTGGGTGGGGAGTCCGGAGCCCTGAGTTCTAGCCCTGGCTCTGCAGCAGACCCCTGCGTGATCTGGAACTTGTCTCCCTCTCAAAGCTTGATTCCCTGCTCTGTGAATGGCAGGAAGGAAGGGCAGGGCGGGACCACATCTCCAGTGCTGACTAGCATGACTGTTCCCATTTTGCAGACAGGCAAATGGAGGTTGAGGAGGGGAGTGGAGCAGGTGGCTTAGCCTGATGGAATCCACCAAGCAAATTGGCAAAGGGGCTAAAATCAGAAGCCAGCAGCTTTGGCTCCAAATCCATCTGTGTTGCTCCTACCGCATAATTCGTGCACCGTCCCCCCCCCCGCCCCCGACAACTTGCATAGGAGGCTTGGTTCCTGGGTCTGCCAGTCAGAGAGTCTGAAGCCACCTGGATCACAGGTATGGCTCCACCAGGGGAATGAGACCCCAGAGAATCCAAGGCCTCTCCCTCTCTAGCCAAGACCTAACTACAGCGAGAAAAGACCCTAATTCTCTTCTCTCCTCCAGAAAAAGTCTGGCCAGCCCAATGTCTAGAAGTCAGCTGGGCTGGTTTGGGCACCTGAGGTCAGGAAGTGGCCAACTTTACTGGGAGAAGGATTGGTGTGGTGCAAGGAGCCAGGCAAGATATCTGAACATGGGAACCTGCCAGCCAGGCCCTGCCCTGTAGTAACCTAGGCCCAGACATGCCTGTAACTGTGTGGTTTGTTTCTCTGCAGAAGCTGACGGGTCGCCTCATGATGGCTGTGGGAGGGGCAGTGCTCGGCTCCCTGCAGTTTGGCTACAACACTGGCGTTATCAATGCCCCCCAGAAGGTGAGTACTGTGCCATCCTTAGCTCACCAGCTTACTCCCTGCTCTCCACACACTCACACTGTCACCTGGGTGTCAGGGTCATCGAACATCAGCTCTCTATCTGCCTCCCCAGCCAATTTTCTGGCCATGACCATGTCATTTGCTCTTGGCTGGGCCTTAGAATCTTGAGGCTGCAGAATTCTAGAATCTCAGTGCCCATGGAATCTAGGGGTCTTTATAGGTCATCTTGACCAACTTCCCACCCAACACAGACGTTTAGAATCCAAGCAGTGCTGAGAGTAATGATGGTGCATTTATGTGGCATTCTGGGGCTACAGAGGGCTTTTGTGGTGCTTGCGTCGCTTGATGCTCACTGCAGCCCTATAAGGCTGGCAGGCAGGAGACAGTCACCACTCCCATGGTGCAGGTGGGAAAATGGCCAACATCACCCAGCTAGTCAGAAATAGAGCTGGTATCCAACACTTCCCCCCAGGTGGTCCTCGAGCTGGTGCTCACGCCCATCCCCTCAGAGCACCCTCCCCTGGAAGGCTCCCAGTTCTAGGTCCTCTCCCTGGAGGCTCCATGCTAGTCAAAGCAAAAATGTCATCTTGCCCTAGGGAACCGCAGGGGGTGGAGGTCTTTGCTGTCTTCCTTCTCCCTGCAACACATCCCAGATTTGTCCCCACTTGTTCACTTGAATGTTAGGACTGGAAGAGACCCCGGCAATCCCCTCCAGCCCAGCCTACTTGCTCTAGGGAGGAGAGAAGAAGAAAAGGGGGTAGGGGCAGTAAAGGAAAGTGTGACTGAATCCGTCCTCTGTTCCAGGCATTTTGCATGTGTTTATGACGTTGGGTGGTGGTGTCCATTTCATAGACCCGGAAACTGAAGCCCGGACAGATGAAATGACCAGCCAGCCCAAAGTCACATAACTATTGAATAGTGGAGTCAGAAGCCAAGCTCTGTTATTTTCACAACCTCAGGCTGTTTTCACCAGGTGCTTTGTCAGTTTAAAAGTCTGTAGTTTCTCAGGGAGGACAGAATGATTGTGGACAGTCCTGTCAGGACCACATTCATTGTCCAGACGGGTGAGGCTGGGAAGTGAGTGTGGCTAGCTCCCGAGCATCAGGGGCCTGTTTGGGGGAACTGGAGACCGGGCAGCGTCTGAAGTCAGAGCTGGCCTTCTTCCAAAAAGGCAGAGGTTGGCTGTGGGGGCCACGCCCAGTGCAGGGAGCAGGTCACCAGGAAGCCTTGGCCTGCTGAGTCATGCTCAGCTGCAGCGGAGGTGACAGGACTTTTCCAAGCGTACCTGACATGGCAACAGTGGGCCCATGCTTGGATCAACTCCAAGTCCTGCTTTTGCTAAGTGCTCTGAACAGCTCTTGCCAAGATGTGTGCTTCAGAGCTGGCTCCCTTTGGGAATCCTTACAGAAGGAAAGTCTAAGACAGGCGAGAAGGGAACAGGAGGTTGAGCTCTCCACCTAGGTTGCACATGGGGGTCCCCTGGACACCCCCAGATGCTGCTTTAATTGGTCTGGGATGCTGTTTGGGCACTGAATTTAAAAGCTTCCTGACTGATTCTAATGTGCAGCCAAAGTTGAAAACTATTGGATTGAGTGACATCTTGACTGTGATCACACAGTGAGTTCATGCCAGAACTAGGACTATAAGGAGAGTGTAGAGGAGGTGTTCTTCAGAAACAGAACAGGGCTGGATGAGCAGGGGGCCTGCAAAGGTGGCAGTAAAATGCCCAGAGGAGAGAAAACCTGGCATTTGGTAAAGGTGTCACTAGGGTGCACAGGAGGAGAGGAGAAGTTGGGGAACCCAACAATGTAAGCCAGAGCTGGACCACAAAGTGCCCTGTGCATAGATTTAATCTGCAAAATATCCAACCACCAGCATGGCATGGCATGACACGTTCAGACACAGTGGCTTGTGGGCACCAGCACGTAGGCTGAGCTGGGGAGTGTGGACTTCAGAGTGAAGACAATAGGGACCCATTGAGAAGGACGGATATGATCAGATTTGCATTTTAGGAAAATGACTCACGCATCTGGTGTGGTGGGGTGGATCTGAGAACATGAGACTCAGGACAGGGGAACTAGTGAGGAAGCTGCTGTTGTCCTAGTGGTATGAAGACAAACCCTGGGAAAGAAGACAGACGGGACTGGGTCGTCACCTCAGTGTGAGAACGAGGGAGAAGCGTTTAAGAATGGCTTCTGGGTTTCTGGCTTGGGTGGAGCAGGTATGGGAGGAGCTGATAGGTGGCCATGGGATGTGCAGGAATTGAGATTTGGTGTGACACCGCTGGAGATGTACAGGAGGCACTTACACCTTCAGTCTGTTCCTTAGACCGAAGATGGAGAAAAGTTAAGAATTGAAGACTTTTAAAACATGTTTTAAGGAATCAGAAGAGGAGGAGAGGGTGAAAATCAGGAACATTTTTTGTGGGGGGTGCTCCTCCAGGAGGCAGGTGTGGGAGCGGGAGTGAAGGGGCTGCATTTGGCTAGGAAGAACTAAGACACTTCTGAGGTTGAGGATGTGGACAAATCTAGAATGAAGTTCACCTTTGGAACTAGGCGAGGGGTTAGAACTGCTGTGGAAAACAGGTACAACAGCTGACCAGGGCATCATATAAGGACTGGTAGGCAGCTCAAAGGGCCCAACTGAGGCTGTAAACTGCATTTACAGGAGTATTTGTGGGCACTTCTCCAAAGGTCATGTCAGAAACCAGCCTCTGAAGACCAGAGCTGGAGGCCTGAATGGCCAGAATTGAAGGTACACATTGAAACCCGGTGGCGTTTCCGGGGGTACTCAGTCTGTTTATGCTCGCACTTTACAAACAATTCTCCCAGGCCTGGCGGGAGTTTTTCCAACCAGGAGCAGATTAGAAGTAATCGATTTAATATATGGGAAGAGAGGATAGAAGGATAAAAGAGTAAGAAGGTGCAGCTCAGAGCTGATGTGTAGTAACAGGACAGAGGGACTGCCATGCCTGGGTGGGCACCAAAGGCACTGTCCTAAGACATCACAGTAATTCGGTCCTGCCAGCACTTCCATTCAACCAGGACTTACTGAGCATCCACTGTGTGTGGATATTGTCCTAGGCGGGGGAGGGATACAGCTGTGAACACAGCAGGCACATCCTGGCCCTCAGGGAGCTGCCTTGTACATGGTCTGTACTGGACCTGCCCCTGCCCTGCGAGGACTCAGCATCCAGAGGGTTGGGGGAGACCCCTTGGAAAAAGCCAGAGTGCTATTAATGGAGGACTTTGAGGTGCTGTGAGAGCAAACAGGAGAGAATAACTAATGCTGGGGGTGGGGGAGACAGGAAGGGCTTTGTGAAGGACTTGGCAGCCAAGCTAGACCTGGAAGGGCAAGTTGGCCCCATGGGGCAGGAGGGGCAGCAGGGCAGGTATCCAGCCAGTGGGAACGGCTTTTGTAAAGCTGCCGTGTTGGGAAGCGCCCCACCGATGTGCACTTCCCGCTGCCCATGCGGGACACACCATCTTCCCTCATCTGTGTAGAAGAACTTCTCTTAGGAGACGGTATTGGGTTCACCATGGTTTGCCTACTCTCCAGAAGGGACTTTGTCCCACTAGTGGTAAAGATGTCAATTCTGCCGTTAATTGCCAGAAACTTGCCCTCTTCCATAAAATAGGCCCCAAAGGGCTTCCTCCTGGAAGTGGTTAATTAATCATAATCTTATCTTAAGTGTTTGCAAAGCACCTCCCTGTAAATCATCTCCTCACAGTAGCCCTACAAAGCAGGAGGGCTGAAATTATCTTCCCCCTCTTATAGATGAGGAAACTGAGGCTAGATGAGGTCACCTGGAGAGTGAGAGGATGAGCGAGAGGCCTCCCCCAGCCTGCACCCTGGCCCCACTCCACACTGTGAGTGGTGATGACATCCCTGTGACATCCCTGCTGGTAGCTCCTCCCCTGGGGGAGGAGGAAGGAAGCAGAAGAGGCCATCCCAGGCACAGAGGGACTGAATAAATGAACGGGGCATCCTGACCACCGTTCTGGGCTCATCTGAGAAGTGCCTCTCTCCCCACCCAAATGGCTAAATTGCCAACAAAGATGACTAAAGGCCACTGAGAAACCACGAGTTCCTGGCCGAGGGACAGTGTCAGACATGTCTAAGAATGATGCATCCTCAGAACCCAGAGAGTTTGGACTGGGAGGGGCCCAACGGCCCATTGGCTCAACTGTCCTGACTCCTGACGGAGGAGGAACCTGGTCTGGCTTAGTGAGTGAAAGAGCTGGACAGAGCTGGAGGCAAGAAGGGCCCAACTGAGGCTGTAAACTGCATTTATAGGAGCACTGCCTCCCACCCCAAGCCTTCTGTTCCCTCAGGCTGAGCTGGGCTCTAGGCTCCAGGCAGCCTCTCCTTATTTCTGTCTAGATCCAAAGACTTCTGGGTCCCCTCTCCCCTTCGCCCATCACCACTCCTACAAACCCTTAGAGTTTACTTACTGTGTGCCAGGCATTGTTCTAAATGCTTTAGAAATAGTAGTTCAGTTGTTCCTCATAATAACTGTTAGGTAGGCACCATAATCCTTGTTTTATAAGAAACTGGGGCACAGAGATGTTAAGCAATTAAACGAAGTACACCACACAGCTAGTAAGTGGCAGAGCTGGGATTTGAATCCAGAGAGTCTGGGTCCAGTCTGTGCCCCCTGACCACTGTGGAACATGGACCCAGTCAGAGATGTGCACCTAACACCCTCTCACACATCCACAGCTGCTAACTAGCTGGCCCTCGTGCTCTGACTCCAGAGCTGAGTCAAGCTCAGTCGTGTACAGACAGCTCAGTAGTTTCCCACACATGGTTGCACAATCTCTTACACCATCACACCCTTCACCGCCACATCATCTCTTAAGCCCCTCAGTTAGGTTTATGGCTTATTGGTCAATTGGTGTCGATTCTCTCTACCTCCAGCCCTGCGCTGGGCACCCGTGACACAGATGAATGAGACCATCCCCGTGTTGAAGTTTAGTCGAGAGGGAGTGCATGATACC